AAAGTTGGGAGATTGTCTGACAGTATGTGGGTGTTGGGAACTGAACCCAGGTCCTCTGCAAGAGCAACCAATGCTCCTAAGACTGGACCATGTCTCCAACCCAACTCCCTGTGAAGTTTGAAAATATTAACACCAGGGGACCATTTGGAGTTCCTCCTTGTATTTTTTGAAAGCTCATGATATTGATTGAGATGGAGGCTCACTATGAGGCCCAATTAGCCTTAAACTCCTGCCAATCCTCCTGCCTCAGCCTTCTGAATGCTGGGATGTCAGCTGTGTAGACTCACACCTTGCTAACTGTTTGATGTTGTATATGGGACATCTCTTTAAGACCTCATTGTAAATGCCCAGGCAGAATTCACAGAGGGGGCGTGGGGAAATTCCCTCCCTAGCTATAGCTGTGCAATATCCAAGGTGGGAGCATCTGCAGTATGGGGTGCTAGGCCATCCTAAAAGGGAAGTCTTTGGGCCTTCTATTCCTTTCAGTGATGGGTGCTGGAAGGACCGCACCATAGCCTCTGTGGTGTCAGCTGCATTTTGCTAAGTTAAATGCACACATGGCCTAAGACTAACAATTCCCCAGATGAAACCTTCCATGGAGATCACTCTGCAGGGCCTGGGGAGAGTGAATGCATGCACAAGGACTGAGCTCAGTGCCCAGCACCCACAGGAAGAACCAGGTGTAAGGTTCAGGATCGTGATCCCAGCATAGAGAAATGGAGACAGGCAGATCCCGGCGGCTGGCTTGGTAGCTAGCCTAGCTGATTTGATGAGTTTCAGGCAGCTCCCAATGAGTAACACCCAGGGGGAACACACACACACACACACGCACGCACGCACGCACGCACGCACGCACGCACGCACTCGAACAATCAACATGAATTCAAACAGGCAAAATAAAATGAGAAAAGAAGAAAAAGACCTACCACTCCCACAGGAGTCCCCAAGTGTGATCTTGCAGCAAGGGAGAGGGGGTACATGGGCCAGCAAGGGGTGGCAGAGGAGACTAACGTGGCTGAGGGAACATGGGGACAAAGAACCAACTCCACAGCCGTTTTATTCGCATACATTAAACACACACACACACACACACACACACACACACACACACACACACACACACACAGACCTCCATAAGCATCTTCTGAGGGTGCCTGTGGGCCGGGAGGAGATGGGGATGGGAAGGAGGAAGGGTGTTGCCGCCAGTTAGAGCAGCTTCCAGAGAAGAGGAGGGCACAGAGGGCTGGCTGTCCAACCTCTGCTCCCACACTCCAACTTCTCCCGGGCCTGGTGGTCTGTCACCTGGCCAGAGCAACCCTGGGGCTGCAAGTTCTGTTAGGTTGTCCAACTGGACAACTGGGTACCAGTGGGAAACTGTTGTTTTAAGAAAAATAAGATGCTCTGGGCTCCACCTTCAGTACCACCAAACCAGCCAACCTAAACGAAATAAAGTAAGTGAGAAGAGGCACTCACTGTCTCTGCCCTGTGGGAGAGGCTTCCCCGCCACCTACACACATAAGCACAGAGGTCACACTTTGGAGAGAACCCTGTCAGTACCCTCTAGTCCCTCAGTGCCCAGTGTGGTTCTCTCTCCCTGGACTCCTAGGGCAGCCTATGTGGGAACAGGTGGTGGGACTCTCTCAGCCATGCAGGTTCTCACAAGAGGGCACTGTGAGGACAGGGGTCCTGTCTGGGAGAGGGCAGAGCTCTGGGGCCAGCCTCCATCCACCCTCAGGTGTCTGCTGAGTGCCTGCTGCTCACTAGGCTCTGGCTCTGGGTGCCAAGGGTGCGGCAGGGAATGGTGGGAGGTGCAGCTGGAAGTTGTGAAGGCAGTCTATGAGCCAGTCACAGGCAACGTGTGTGTGTGTGTGTGTGTGTGTGTGAGTATGTGTGTGAGTGTGTGTGTGTGCGCGCGCGTGCACGCACAGGGCGCAGGTATGTGATCAAATGACACCACTGGGTAGTGCTTCTCAAGGGTTGAGTCTTGAGCAGTGGGGAGGTGTGGCATGGATATCTCCACTTGCAACTGAGACGTGAATAGTCTTCCTTTCGAAGCGCTTGCTGACCCAAAAGCAAGGCAAGCAAGCGCTCTTGGATGGAGTCATACTGCCCACCTCCCCAGCCTCTCTGCTGCTGTTGTAGTGAGCGTCTAGAACCCCGGAGCCTGGGCATCCAGCCATTTCACTAGTCTCTTCTTGGTGACAGGAATATTACACTTTTACCAAGCCACACCAGACACGGGGTCTGCTGGCCCATTCATTTAGTCTCAGCATGTTGGAGATGGAGTTCAAGGCCAGCTTGGGGTACCTGAGAATATATTTCAAAAAACTGTAAACCAAGGCAAATCTGGTGGTACAGGCCTGGCATCTCAGATCCTCAAGTAGGTAAGAGGCAGGAGGATGACAAGCCTACCGTGTGCCTAGGTTATAGAGTAGGTTCAAGGCCAGCCTAGGTAATTGAGTGAAAACCTGTCTCAAAATAAAAAGTGAACAGGGGCATGGCCCTGCAGTAGAGCTCTGTCTAGAATCCTCCAGTGAGAGGCTGGGGGCATGGCCCAGTGGTAAAGCCCCTTCCTAGAATCCCCCAGTGTGTTTGGGGGCATGGCCCAGTGGTAAAGCCCCTTCCTAGAATCCCCCAGTGTGTTTGGGGGGCTGTTGCCCAGTGGTAGAGCACCTGCCTGGTGTGTTGGAGGCCCTGGGTTCCCTCCCCAAGACTGCAAAACAAAAGTCTAGCAATGAGAGATGTTCCTGGTCACACCACCAGGTGCCAGAACCCAACCTCAAGGCAGCTTTAAACACTGTGACTCTTGTCTCTGAAAAGGAAGTGAGCTGAGATCATGGCTGAGGAGGAAAGCGCTTGGTGCACAAGCAGGAGGACCAGCGTTCGAGCTCCAGCACCAGCGGAAAAGCCAGGCATGGTGGCACATCTGTAACCCAGCACTGGAAGGGAGACAGGAGGCTCCCTGAAGCTTGCTAGCCAGTCAGCTCAGTGATCTGCGCCCTCCAGCTCAGAGAGAGACCCCGCTTAAAAAAAAAGGCGGACAGTAATTATGGAAGACATCTGATATCTACCTGTGGCTTCCACACGCACACACCACACACACACACACACACACACACACACACACAAGAAAACAAAGAACCCTCCTGCTAGCCAGGTAGGACCCTGAGTATGGGCTGGGAATGTCGGGTTGGGGACTCCAGATGGGCAGGAGAGCTATCTGAGCCTGTGGGACTGTGAATAGCTTTTGTCTCTGTATGTTTATCTAAGTGTATTTTCTGGTTTTCCTGAATTAATTTGTATTCATTCTGTAATAAATAATTAAAAGATGCATTTACATAAGCTCAGAAAGGTATGACAACAAATGTAAACAGGAGTTATTTATATCTGGGTGGTGGGATGTGATGATTTTTTTAAAATATGGATAATTAAAACCATTACTTTTTTCTTTTGTTGAATGCTGGTTCAATGGTTAGATTTGACACATGGTCTCTCTGTGGCCCAGGCTGGCCTGGAACTCACTATGTAGCTCAGGGTGGCTTTCATGGTTATCCTCCTGGGATCATAGGTGCACAGCGCCACGCCAAGCCAGCATTGCATTTCTTGCTCCTGCCATCTGGAAGGCCTAGCCCCCATGGGCCTTTCTGCTCTGGATCGCAGCTTTTAGGGCAGCTTCTACAGTGGAGTGACAGATGAGAGTGTTCTGATTTCTAGGGCGCTGTTTCATCCTTTTTGTGGCAGAGGGTCTGGCCCTACTGAGCGACATAGACAGCCCAGCAGCTGGAGGGATATGGGTGCGGACTTCAAGCAAACCGACACAAATGGTAACCCATTTGTTCAAGGAAGCGGCCGGCGAGGTGGCCTGACATAGAGATAGCCAGCCCCGCACTGGTGGTGGCCCTGGGTCTCAAGTTTCTCTGGTTCACACATCCTTGCTTCTCAGACACCCAGAAAGGGCCTGTCCCCTGGGGGCTTCCATTCTTTCTGGCTCTCCAGAAGACTTTTGTGGGGCCCCTGAACCCTGAGCTGAGCACCGGGGGTCTGGGACGTTCTGTGAGGGTGCCCACCTGCATGAAGTGGGTACAAGGCAGCCTGCATGAGGACTTGTAGTTGACTACATGCCTTCAGCCGAGTATGGTGGCTCACAACTGTCCTCCTAGCACACCGGAGACCGAAGCAGGAGTGTCACTGCAAGCTGGCACAACCTGGGCTGCAGAGCGGGTCTGTGGTGAGCCTGAGCCACGGCAAGAGCTCCACACCAGTTGGAGATACAGAGTGAGACCCGGCTTTATCTCAAGCAACCAAGCAAACCAACAAATAATAAAAGCAAAACCAAACCCAAGCAGCACCCAACAGCAAAGTCCTCACTCGGGGTGCCCTGCGTCTGATGACAGCTGCAGACATTTGAAAATAGGTGGCCAGGACGCTTCTGAGCACCTCTCAGCAGCCAGGACAGCTCCACCTCGGGTGAAGAAAGACCTAGTCCAAACATCACACTGTACAGGTAGGAGGCAGCTCCCAGCAGCCCTCTGGGCCACCAGCACAGTCCCAACCCCACCTCATGGGATGGGCTGTGCACCAAACAAAGACAGCTGAAGTCACTTGCAGCCCCTACTAACTACTGCCAGTGCCAGCCCTAAACCCCGTGGACCCCACCATTCATCCAGCTAGCTCCCCAGAACCGGAATGAGCCCCCACTTTCTAGAAGGCATTGAGGCTTACTGAGAGATGCTATCTTGGCCCAACAACAGGGAGGGTGAGGTGGAAGGGCCCCTCCTGGCCGCCTCAAGGCACCCTGTCCTGTGGTGCGAAGGCGTGGCAGGCACACCGGGAAAACGCACAGCCTGCGGGGAAACACATCGCAAAGGTGGGCAGGGCGACGACGGGAGATCTGGTGCGCAGGCGCCAGGAAGTGCAGCGTAGAGGATGGGGAGGGAGGCAGAGCCTTACACCCTTTGTGCCTTGACCTAGTGGCCAACCAGCGATGGAGGTGGGCTCACCTGGATGCTGTTCTCCTGCAGGTTCAGGTAGCGGGTGTTGACAGGGATACTGGCAGGCACCTCGGCCAGCTCCCTCCGAGTGCAGATCACCCGGCTGGCCTGGTTGCTGCAGGAGCAGGCTGCCGGGCAGGAGGTGGCTGGCGGGGAGCCTCCTCCAGCGGCCGAGGTCACGGTCACACCGCCCCCACCGGCCCCCAGGGGTGGGGAGAAAAGCCACAGGAGCAGGAGAGCCCCGTGGGGCCAGGACATCCTACCAGGCGGCAGCAGGGGGCACGGGGAGCCACGAGTGTGGGCGTGCGCCATCCTCAATGTTCATACTCCGAGGGCACGCTGGGGGGCTGTGGAGGAGACAGGGTGGTGGTCAGTAAGCGTCAGGAGCTCAGGTTGTCCCGACTCACCCGCGAAACTCCACCAGAAGCCCTCACCCTTGCTCGGAACCAAAGGTACGGGAACCTGGCCTGCCTGCACGGGCCCATTTCTCCTGGGCCGTTCTGTAGAAAGGATAACTGAGGCCAAAAGAGAACGTTTGGGCCCAAGGTCACTTGGTCAGTAAATGGCAATGTCAGCGAGATTCACACTCAGGTGTTGCCAAGCCTGGGGGGGTGCAGGATGCCCAGACAGGAACATTGAAAGTTCCAGGCTAGCCTGGTCTGGAGAGTGCATCCAAGGCCGGGCTGGACGATTCCGTGAGACCTTGTTCAAATCTAAAAAGGCAACATGTGGCTGAGTGGTGGAGCACATTCCAGTGCATCCAAGACCCTCGGTTCCATTCCCAAGGCTTTAAAACTATCTTCATCGTGTCTGCATTGGTTTCAGTTAGACAGGTAAGTGTGTGGAGATGAAGGGCCGATGGACGGACCGGACCGTGAGGCACAGGCTCAGCCCGGTGAAGCACAAAGCTGACCAGCCCCCTTCACACCCAAGCAGTCCCCGGGAGAAGCACCCCCATCTCTCAGGTGTGATGGCACCAGCCGCCAGGCCCAGCTCTGTACCCTCCCCTGGCTCACCCTCGCTCCTCCCAGACCCTACCCTGTCCCAGACTTGGTGGCTGGGCTTCTGGGAGGAGGTGGGGGCTGCGGGGCACCCTCACCCTGTGGTGGCACAGTTGGAGACCATAGCAGTGCCCTGTGCCTCAAGATGGCAGGTGCTCTGAGGGAACACGGCCTGTGGAGGGCCCTGTGCCAGCAGCTGTCGCAGGATGGGGGCTGAGGGAGCTGAGGGAGCGGAAAGGGGCGGTGGGTGCCCCGTGTCTCAGCCTGGGGTATGGGAAGTCAGCATCACTGCACCCTACTCTCCGGAGCCCCAGAGGGGAGGGACTCAGGCTAACCAAATGGAGGTACCTGCAGCCAGCACAGCAGGCTCTCGCCTATGCCTCAGCCCTCCAGCCTGTGGAGGGCGGAAGCCGCTGGATTGTGTGCCAGGCCATCTCAAGGCCCACTGGGTGGCAGAGGGGGTTTGGCCTCAGGACTCACCCTCCACACAGTGTCCCCGAGTGCTCACACACATAGAAAGTCGGCTTGAGACAGGAAGGGGGGTCCCCATAAACACGATACCCACCCACTCACACAAACAGCAGGAACAGACACACCCTCGCATACGGCCTCTCCAATCCACGGACACAGGGCTGCCACCCCCCCCACGCAGGTGCGCATGAGCACACACACACACACACACACACACACACACACACACACACACACTTCTGCAGCTCCCAAGATTTTAACCCAGATAGAAATGTGTGTGCTGCTGTGTGTGAGGGCAGGAAATGGAGTCAGAGACAGAGAGACAGCGAGAAGCAGAGATGGTGAGAGGCATGGAGGCAGAGCAGAGACAGAAAAAGAAAAGACAAAGGCATAAACCAGGCCAGAGGCAGAGACTGTGACAGAGACAGGATCAGAGAAATAGACAAAAAGAGACACAGAGATGGAGAAATGGACAGAGAGGCGGGGACATGGGGACGGAAGCACAGACTGAGCTGAGACAGAAGGATACCGAGACCACAGAGACCGAGGTCCCCGCCTCAGCTGGCCGCCAGGCCCTGCCCTGCGCCAGCGTTTCTCAGCGGGGGCTGTGGGGTCTTTGTTCCCACACATGTGGCCGTGAGCTTCCTCCTCAGTCCACCCTGGGTCCACCGTCCCCACTTGCTGAGACTCTGGCTATGACCAGCCCATACAGCTGTAAGCCAAGGATCTGGCGCGGTGCTTACTGAGCCCACCATCCCCCCGGCCGGCACCCGGTCTCCTCCCCCACCGGCTGCCAGTGCACACCCCACCAGGGCTGCTGCAGCAGCTCCCTCCTGCGCCTCCCGCCTCTCCTGCCACCGTCTCCTTGTCCTTGCCTCCCCGCCCGCCCGCCCGATCCCACAGCACGCACACTGAGGGACACTTACCCTGGTGGCTTGGCTTCCGATGCCTTCTCTCTGTGCCCCAGGCCCCCCCCTCCGCATGTCTGCAGTTGCCCCAAGGCCCTGCCACCCCAGCTTCTCGCTGCTTCCCGCTGGGCTTGTGCTGGGGGGGGGCGCAGGGGTGTCTTGGGTCTCCCTGCACCCCCCCCTCGTCTGTCGCCCTTCCCACCCTCTAGGGGAGCCTGGCCTTCTTCTCTTGGCCACCACACAAGCAAGCCCTCGCCTCCTCCGGTCCTGTGCCCCCCACCTTAGTCCCCCCACACCAGATTCCTTCTCTCCACTCCCAGACCCAGCTTCTGCCCCTCTCCCAGCTCCCCAACTCTGTCTTGCCTCCCTGAGGACCACCAGACCCCTTCTCTATCTGTCCTCCTCCTCCACTGTCCTGTCACCCTGTCATTGCCAGGAGCCTGGCTCAGTCAGGTTCCTACTGTCTGTCTGTCTGTCCTGGGGCCTGCCTCGTCCCTCTCCCGGCTCTGCCTCTCTCCCTTTCTCTGCGATTACAATTTCTAGTCACACGGCAGTGCAGAGCCCAGCTCCCTCCCTCCCCGCCCCCTCCCTCCTTCTTTCTCTCCTTCCAGCGGGGAGGGCACTCCCTCCCTTCTTCCCTCCACCCTCACTCAACTCCCCCCTCCCAGCTAGCTCGGCCAGGGGGTGGCCTCCCCCTCCCCCCTGCTAATCAAAGGCTCCGTTATCTAATTAACCCGTTGGTTCTGGGCAGTCAGGGAAGGTGGGGGGGAGCGGGGGAGGAAGGTTGGCGGCTGTGCTGCCAGGGGAGAGGGGTTTGGACTGTGCCAAGCTACAGCCTCGTGGCACACACACACTCACACACACAACACACACACACACACACACACACACACACACACACACACAGCAGCCTCAGCTGCAGAACCAGGCTGGGCTGCTTGGACTCCATGCCACTGGACCAAGATGTCCCTCCTGCATCCTCAGGGCCCATCCTGGGTTCAGGTACTGCTCCACCTCATGCAGTCCCTGATTCAACCCCATTTCAATATGCTACCCAGCCTATGCCAGACAACTTAGGCCCACATCACAATCACCCTTTCTTTCAGCTGGGGCCGGCACTCATTCTTGCCACAAAGAAAACTACCCCAAGATGCCCCTCCCCATTCTACCCCACCTGGGCCACCCAACTCCTAGTGCCCTCTGCAGAGCAGTCTGGGAAGCTACACTCTGCTCATTCACTTCATGTGTCCCTTCATCCATCCATTCCTCCTCCCAGCGGTCCATGCATTCACCTGCCCATCCATGTACCCGCCCATCCGTCCACACAGACAGTGAGTACTCAGTATGTCCATCCGTCAGCCCTTCCTCCATGCATTCACCTGCCCATCCATGTACCCGCCCATCCGTCCACACAGATAGTGAGTACTCAGTATGTCCATCCGTCAGCCCTTCCTCCATGCAATCATATGTCCACCCTCTACTCCTCTGTCCTTCCATCCACTTGTCTATATATCTGTCCTTCCATCCACCTGTCTATTCCTCCCTTTGTCCATCTATCCTTTCATACTCCATCTCTTCTCTCCTTCCATCCATCCATCTGTAAATTCACTTATCTATATATGCATTCATCCATTTCTTTACCCATCTCTCCATTCTTTATCCATCCATCAACCATCCATTTATCTGTTCATCCATCCATTTGTCTGTCTCTAACCATCCTTTTATGCATCTATTCATCCGTTTGCCCATCCATCCATCCATCCATCCACCCACCCATCCACCCATCCATCCATCCATCCGCCCATCTATCCATTCCCTCCACCTCTTTGTCTCTGCCTGTGTATCATCCCTCCTTCTTCTCTTCTTCTATCTAAAACCTATTTTGGAAGCCCCCACTATGTGCCAGGCACTGAAGATGTCACCAAGTGCTTATGCGTGGGTACAAGGCTCGGCATACCATGGGCCAAATTGGGGTAGTGCCAGCAGGTGCTCTGGGAAGGGGCTCTGGCTGGACCCCCAAATCTGCCCTTTTTTCCATATGGTCTCAGTTTCTGAGTTCTGGTGTCCTCCACTGTGAAGAGGCCAACTCCCAGAGTGGCTGGAGGTGGGAAGAGTAATGTACTGAACACAGGCTCTCCTGTCTCGACACTAGAAAGCTCACAGGTGACTCGGGCTCAGCTATCTCCTCAGCTGGCCGCTTTGCTTCCCCCCTGAACTTCTTACAACTCCATGTTGTGTCTAACTTCACAGGTGGCCAGAGAGACCCTGTTAGCACAGCAGCCAGATCCCACCCTCTGCTGCTTAGGGCTCTCCAGCAACTCCCGAGTCAGCCAGATACAGGCGAGGAGCTCACTCCTAGGTCAGCCTCTGCTCTGACCTCAGTGGAGGGTTGAGCACCAGCCCAGGGGGTCAGGGGAGTGGCATGGAAGTTACTCTTTACTCTGCCTGCATCCCTGGTCGGTCACCTTCTCGGTGAATGATGCTGGTGCATTTTCTGGTCCCTCTGGTTATTGCCACCTGACCTCTCAGACCACACCTGCCGAGAAGCACATCCACCAAGGGGGAGGCCACATCTGCTTTGGCCTCTGTGACTGAGCTTGGCGTGCTCAGCAAATGCCGGGTGAGGGAAAGGGATGGGCACAGCTGTGGATACTTGGCTGTGCACATTTTCTGTTAGGTTACATCTCTGTTTCTTGTCACAGACACACCTGTCACCCAGTCCTGCTGTACTCTAAAAGTTGGTCAAGTCAGACACATCAGCCTGAGACATGTCTCCAACTGAGGTCTTCACCTGTGCCCAGGAGGTCACTGTCTTTGGCTGAACACCTGTGTCCCAGGTTTCCCTCCCTCCCTGCCACAGTGTCATCTGGTTCTCACTAGATCCCAATGCATTTCTGTGTGCCCCTCCAAAGATCTTGTCACTAGGGGAGTCTCATCTCTGTTTGGAACCAGAAGCTGCCCATGGAGCTCACTGGCCAAACTGGAGTAGACAGAGCGCAGGCTAGATGCTTTTTCTGAGTGTGCACCTGGGCTAGTCCCAGGCACAGGCTCCATTAGAGCAGCTCACCACAGCACACAGCAGAGCAGAGCACATCACCAGCATGCACACCACGCCCTTCTGCAGTGCTTCTTGAGGGAAAAGCTCTGCTGGCATCCCCATCGCATAAACAGGGAAACTGAGGCCCTGGGTAGGCCTAGACACTGACTCCAGGTTGCCCACAGAGTTAAGAAAGAAGCTAGGCATAGAGGCACAGTCTTGTTATCCTAGCTATGCAGAGGCTGAGTAGGAGGATGGCAAGTTCAGGGCCAGCATGGGCAACTTAATGAGATTCTGTCTCTAAAGAAAATGAAAAAAAGAGGGTTGGGGGAGGGAGTATCTCAGCAGTAAAGCACCTGTCTAGAATCCCCTACTGGTGGGCTGGGAGTGTGGCTCAGTGGTAGAGCTCCTGCCTAGTCTGCAGAAAGCCCAAGATTCCATTTCAAGTACTGCCAATACATACATACATATATACACATATACATACATATATATCTGGGATGAATGCTCCATGGGTAAAGTGTTTGCTGAGTTCAGTCGCCAGAGGTAATGTAAACAAGCAAGACTTTGTGGTGCACTTGTAACTCCAGTACTGAGGGGGTGGAAATAGATCCATGGCCTGCCAGTCAGCCAGCCTAGCCAAACAGGTGAGCACTGGGCCAATGAAAGACCCTGTTTAAAAACGAGTATGTGAGGCTGATGAGACATGGCTTAGTGGGTAAGCTAGCTAGACAAACCTGAGCACCTGAGTTTGATGGGGGAGAGAACAGACTCCTGACCATAGGCGCATGCACACACAGAGTGATAAATAAATGCAAAAAAACAAAAAAAGGAAAGCCAGAAACCAAACCAAACCAAACCAAAGCCAACAAAATCCACAGTGCAGATCTGAGGAACACTGTGGCTGACCTCTGGGCCTTCACAGGTTTCACACACACACACACACACACACACAGGGCTCACAGGTTTCACATACACACAGGGCCTCACAGGTTACACAGACACACAGACACACACACACAGGGCTCACAGGTTTCACACACACAGACACACATATACAGGGCCTCACAGGTTACACACACACACACACACACATGCACACGCACACGCACACACACACTCACACTCACACACAGGGCCTCCAGGTTGGCCCAGAGCCCATCTATTTGGCTAGGCTGGCTTACTGGCAAGACCATGGATCTTCTGGGAGTCACAGGACTCCAGAGATCACAGTGATAAGTTCCACAGAGGTCACTGGGGTGTAGGTTGGCCAAGTAGTCAACCAGTAGCTGGCTACAGCCCTCTCCCTCCTTCCCAGTCCCAGGGCTTCCAACACATCCCTCTTCCAGCCCCTGGGGGTCAGCCATGGTCCCACTCACAGGTCCCAGGTGATGCTGACTCAGAGGGGTCAGAGACACTAGCTCAGTCAGGCAGACCTTGAATGGGCAGAGCCTGAGGAGCAGAGAAGCCAGACAGTTGGGCAGGGTAGAGTGGGCTGAGGACAGAGACCAGAGACCCCAAGAGTTCAGGTGCTCCAGGAAGGTGCTAAGCCCTCATCCACTGCTGCCTGCCCAGCCTGGCTCGGGGATGTGTGTCTTGGGCACAGTGCCTGAGAGATTCATGCAGATGGCAGATGGGAAACTTGGGGGCTCAGGGGAGGCGGGGTGAGGAGAAAAGGGAGGCAAGAAGTATCCCTGTCAGCCACACTCCTGCGCCTGAAGAAGTTCATCAGGTGAGAACAGGAGAGGAAGCTGTTTATGGTAGCAGGCAGAGTGGAGGTCAGAGCTAAAAGAGGTCCTCCCCTGCCTTGACAGGTGGGTGGGGCAGTGGCACACTCGGGACAGCAGTCACAAGCAAGGCTGGGGGAGGGGTAGAGGTAGAGGCTCAAGGTGGAGGGAAATAAGTGCAGACCTGTCCCCTCAGCCACTGCATGTCCTCAGGGCTTTCGCAATAAGAGCGAACACTCAACCCTGAGCATTGATGTCCTCTTAGCAAAGGACCCTGGAGAAAAGGGCAGAGCAGAGTCTGGGTGCCCTGGGCCCCTCTGGTGTCCCCAGCACACAGCAAGGGTTGTCTTCCCTCCGAGTCATGAGCGTGGACTTTGTCCTGCTTTCCCCCAACTCTGCTCTCTGTTCTGGTGCCACCAAGCCTCTCTATGTAGCAACTTCCTGGTCTCTTAGCTGTCTCCCTCCCACTAGAAGGTGACAGGGACCAGACGCCTGAGAGCAGGGACTCACAGTCCCAGCCTCTGTTCTGTGCTGGCATCTGGGTGCACATGACTGAGTACAGCAGGGCAGGGGGCACAGGATGGGCCAGGACGGGCTCAGGAGTGTGCAGGAGCTGTCCCCTCTAGCCAGTGGCCTGCCACGGAGAAGCCCAGAGACCCGAGGCACAAGCCAGGAGGCGGTAATGAAGGTCGAGTCAGGTGTGGGGACCCAAGCATGTGGAGTGTGTGTGTGTGTGTGCATGCGTGTACAGGCATGCGAATGGGCATGTTGCTCACATACTTCCCTCTGG